CAAGTTCTTGTCTTAAAACCATAACATCTTTGAGATATATGGGCTATTATAAAATCAGCTTAAATATACTGCACTAATGGGTAACCAAACATTATCAGGAAAGTTTTTAGTAATCTCTATATTTATTCTAAACTTGTTAATTATTTTAATTACCATATTAGGTCAACTAGTCTTCAGTTTATTGTTGTCATATTATCATTTTTTTCCATGGCTTGAGAAAATTTGACTATCCTTAGGAAAAAAATAAACATAAAAAAGAATGAAAAAAGAGAGAAAGATTACTCTCCATCTAGTAAAGGTAAGCTGAATGAATCCTCAGATCAGATACACTTTAATAAGTAATCATTATCAGCATCGTGAATTTTAAGCAATTGCTAAGAATACAATTAAAATGACTTCAGGGAGAATTTTCAGGGTTCGTTCATTCATTGATGCATTTAAAGTATGTTTTCAGAGGAAATTCACATTAGAAGGTACTATATTGTTTAAGCATCATATTTAAGCAACATTCCTCAAGCAGTAAACAATTTTGGAGAGTACTTGTTGAAAATATTTGGAGGTAATGCCAAACATATTTCATGGGAGACTTGAAATATTTCTGTTTGGCAATAACATTCTTACCTAGCTTCCTGCACTCAGGTTAATCTGTTCTCACTATTGGTAGCTTGTGTTTATCTTTAGTAGCCACTAAGTTGGCCAAACCTATCCTTGCCCACATTTTCCTTCCATGTTTGACCAATGTGCACACAATAACCATGAAAAATTGAGCAATTCTCCACCCAGGGCTGGGAGGCTTTTATTACTCAAGTTGTGAAATGTGTGTAAGCATTGCAAGCCCTAATGTTATCCCACATTACCATATTTTATGAAATAATTGTGCCATCAATATCTAAGTTATGATTCACCAGTAAATAAATGAAAGTCCTTCTTTCATTTCTTTAGCAAGCCTTTTGGTGGTTCTTTGAAAAGAGCTAAAAGCAGTTCATGCCATGATCCTCAACCCTTTTTCCATGTTCTAGTATTTGAGTTGGACGTAATTTGTAAAATAAAAATGTGATCATGAATTTTTCTTCATGCACCCCTAACTTAGCTCTACAAAGCATGGACTGTATAGTCAGAGAAACCTGGCTTCCAACCCTGAGTCTAACACACTTGTCGTTAGTGTGACATTTCAGCACTTCATTAAAAGATAGTCTCCAGTATATATATATATATATATATATATATATATATATATATATATATATATATATATATATATATATAGTTGATTTTTTTACAGAGAGAAAGAGAGAGGAATAGAGAGTTAGAAACATCGATGAGAGAGAATCATCAATCAGCTGCCTCTTGCACAACCCCTACTGGGGATGTGCCTGCAACCAAGGTACATGCCCTCTACTAGAATCGAACCTGGGACCTTTCAGTCCACAGGCCGATGCTCTATCCACTGAGCCAAACCAGTTTTGGCAGTCTCCAGTTTCTTGCATGTAAATTTGAGGTAATTATAACTACTTTGAAGGACTAACTAATATGATGAGGGCATGCAGAGTAATTAATACACAATAGCCACTTCATAAATAGCACCATTATTACCATTATTATTTGTTAAGAGAATTACTCATAGTTGCTTATTTTGAAGATCTGAAAGCCAAAACTCAAATCAGCTTCCATTGGTTGAGAGTAGCCATGAGCCACATCAAATGTTCTACTTATCTAAAAGTATGAATATTTGTAATTTTCCAGGAAGTTGTTAAGAAACAGTCTGACATTGGGGACAACATTCTCTTCTTTTACATGTCATTGGCACTACCATGATGCAGCATTTCCTCTGAGGATTTAGAAATCTTTTCTATGTATGAGAACATACATGCTGTCATTTTGATGAGCCAACCACTCCACTGAGAATTCTGACCTAGAAAGTGCAAAAGGTAATGACTATACTCTGACATCATGATTCTATCCTTAACCATATCCTGACATCATGATTAGCAATGAATAGCTATAATTTTTTTTAGTTCCTTTTTAAAAGAAAATTTCAATACCTACTTTAGCATCCTACGCATTTTCATATATGCTATCTTATTTCATCCTAACAACTCTTTAAGACAGGCATTGTTATTTCTCATCATTGATTTCGATTACCACAGAGTGAACTATCAGAGGAAGGGGTGTAAATGTCAGACAAGGCATTTCTCCTTTTAAGGAGACACCAATGAACCAGTACCAGCCAGCATTCCTAGCAGCCTGGAAAACAGGATAGGTATAAGCACCAGCAGGATCTACTATATTCCCATTTTGCAGGTTTTAGGGGCAAAATGAGGATCAGAGTAAAGTGATTTTACCATGCCCACATATCTGGTAGGGGAATGCCAGATCCTAAATCAAACTGCCTGATTCCAAGGCAAACTAAGCTTGCTTTCTACCACACCACAACTGGTTTACTGAAGTATACTAGAGGAGGGCTGTGAATTTGCACAGACCTCTCATGGAGTGGTAGGTTAGATGCATAGCTTTTTTAAGCACATTACTCACTGTAAAAAGTAGTCATTCCTTTAGATTTCTCTACATTTTGCCCTTCTCAACTTCACCTGGTACCCCCTTCACCTTTGTTCTATAGAAATTGGGGAACAAATCCATGGGCATCCTATCCACGATTATATACAGCAGTATTTCAAGTCTTCTCAGAAATGTGTTCCAACTTGTATCCTGTCCTTTGCATCTGACCTCATAGAGTAGTTTTGTTGTTGTTGTTGTTGTTGTTGTTGTTGTTGTTGTTGTTTTACCTCTTTAGAATAATGGTCAAGTTTGGGATTTGACCATACAAAGCCTGATAGTAAACAGGCCTGTTGTTGTGTGTCATATGTCCTACAGCTCCAGTTTAGATGACATCTATGATCAGCACTTGAACTGTGACAACTACAAGGCTTTACAATGGAGAAATGACCAGCACTTCAATTTAGCAAATCAAGGATATTACCTTGCAGAGGCAGAGGCTTGAAAGATGACCCTTTTCCTTAAGACAGTTCCACATATAAGGCAACATTGGAAAGATGTCAAAATACAGAAAACACTGGGGCCAAGAGGAAAGACTTGTTCTAATTGAGAGGGTTAGGAAAGGCTTCTTGGAAGAGAATTAAATTTAACTAGCTTTTGAATACTGAAGAAAATTTCAGCAAGTAATGTCGTTTGAAGGAAAATATGAAGGAGGCAGGTTTAAGGGACACAATTTGAAGGACAAACATTTCTCTCCGAAAGCAAAGACCAGAAATGAAATCAGGAACTAAAGCAAGTAAATAAACATCTCAACCCAGATGTAACACACCTAAGTTCAGGGACACAAAGGAGGGTCCATTTAGTTCCTAGAGGATAAACAAATCTAAACCCAAACCCTAGAGTCACAAGTAAGGACATAGAGACAGCAAGTTAAGAGAGGTCAATAAAACTGACTAGAACTTAAGTTTGCAACACAGCCTTTTCTGGTAAAGAGAACTTCCCCAAAACTTAGGCAAGGTCGAGAGGAGGCGGAAGTAGGTCATTAGGTTGCTTTTTTTCTCAACTGGTCAAGGTCAACCGGAGGCTTCCAGTCACAACTCAAACTACTTTTGAGAGTAGTGTTTCATGAAGACTATTTCCCAAGAAACACTTTAGAAGAACAAGAGACCTTACATGCTCCTATGCACAGGATAAGCACACTGATTAGAAAGCAATGGCTTGGGGAAAGAGCCATCTTCCATGGCATCTTATGTAGTAGGGGGGAAATGGGGATCAGAGCACTGCTAATATGAGATTTAGCAATGGCCTAAAACATCTCAGGGATATTTATTTATTTATTTATTTATTTATTTATTTTGTGTGTGTGTGTGTGTGTGTGTGTGTGTGTTTTCCTTTTCATTCTTAAAAAAAAAATGTTTTTAACTGTTAGTTAACATCTCTTATGTGCCTAGTGACCTAGGCATTATTAATGCACTTTCAACTACTTGAATGTCCTAATTTGAAGTAATAAAGAAAGGAGAAAGGTGACAGGGGAAAGAGATATTTAGGGTCATCATCAGAAGGCATTCCTTCCAGGGAGTGGAAAGTCATGGGTCATGATGCCCAGAAATAATGTAGCTGAGCAGACATGATCCAGAGCTTTTAAGTGGTGAAGCAAAAGGATTAGAGGAGTGGCAGGAAGTAACATTTCCAAGTGCCTATTTGTACCAGGCTTGATGCCAATTATTTTGCATAATTGTTATGTCCACTTGATGTTCTTCACATTACATGTTGGTAAATTTCCAAAGTAAAGTCATTCAGAATAAATCATGCTTGGGGAGTATGGACAATAATATTGTAATAACTATGTATGGTGCCAGGTGGGTACTTAAAATACTGGGGGCAAAGGGTATTACTGTATAAAGTATATCATTGTCTGGCCACTATACTGTACATCTGAAACTAATACAAAATAGAGTTAAATATAAATAAATAAACAAACAAGTTAATAAATAAAATGGATTCTTGCTATTTAAAAGAAAAAAATAAAGTGAATAACCTAATAATGTGCACTAAAATAAGAAATGTCAAATAAGCAAATCTTTTTCAGCTACTTTTTTATTATAGAACTGTAAAATATCTGAAATAATAGCTCATCCCTTCAGAAACAAACAGAAGGCAACATTGCATATTCCATTTTCCTTTCAGAGTTATTTTTGTGATTTAATATTATAGACATGCTTATAGCATTGTATTAGAAATATAATTGTGTAACAAAAGGCAGCTCTTCCTCCCCCCCCCCCCTTTTTTTTTAAGGGATAAATTATGCTTCCTTCTGCCACTCACATCCAAATTGAAGTATAGCTCAGCTTGGAGTTTTGGACCAATTTTGGATCACTTAAACTGGGGTCTTCACTGATCTTTCTTTAGTTCCATATAATAATTAAGAATACCCATAAAAGATTAAAAATAATAGCATTCTGGGTTTTTTTTTGTTTTTTTGTGGGGTTTTTTGTGTTTTTTTTTTTTAGAGAAAAACAAGCTGGCAATATTTTATTATACAGGGGGTTGGCAAAGGACAGATTCATGTTGATCACACCTTCCCCAGGGTCTACCTGGTGATGCAGCTAATGCAATAAAATAGCAGCTGATATGTACTGAGTGTCTGCAGTGTGTCTGAGCCATTGAACAAGAGGCAAATCCCACTGCGAACACTGGGATTTTCACCGGAACACAGATTAGAAGAGGCCCAGCTTCAAGGATTCCGACTTGCACAGACTGAGGACTCCCATTTCCAGAAGTTCAAAAACTTCCTTTTTTATCTCGGGAATGTCCATCATCCTCCTCAACTTCTGATCTCTCCAATTCCAGTCAAAAACCAGAAACTTTAAAGGGTTCAAATTAAGGCCACCTTGTTTAACGAGCTCTTTAATCCTCCCTGGAGTTCCTACACCCAGGTGCATGGCACGCTTCTCCAGCAACTTCACCTGCTCCTGGACCTTTATGTGTTTTGCAAATAATTTCATAACTTTGCTGTCTCCTCTGAATGCTGTCATCGACCTAATGAGCTCCAGGGCTCTGATGGCAGAGCTGCAGATGATCAGCAGTAGGACTGACTTCTTCTCTGTGTGGTTTTTCCGAAGTTTTACCCACTTAGGGCAGATTTCTTTTAGGTATGATGAAAGACTACGAGTCAAATCGTTGGCCTTGAGGAAACAGGAGTCTGGTAGCTTCAGTTCTTCTAATTCAATCACTGAGCGGCTGCTGCTGTAATACAGTGATGCCTCACACAACGAACTTAATTCGTTCCAGGAGCAAGTTTGTTATGCGAAAAGTTCGTTATGTGAAACGCGTTTTCCCATAACAATACATGTTAAAAAAAAATAATTCGTTCTGTAGCATAAAATATGCTAAGATGACATAAAAAAGATAATTTTTTGTTATTATTTTTATTTAGATACATCATGATATAAAAAAAATATTGAGTTTAACTTAAAAGGACGACTGCCGTGATACGTGCGTGATTTAATTCGTAATGAAGAACGATTGCCGCGATACGTGCTTAAGTTAAGCGCAGTGACTAACGACTGCCTGCAGTGCCTGCGCGGAAGGATGCAATACATCGGCAGCGATCGTGGAAGCTCGGGCAAAGCGGTAGTGGAAGCTCGGGTGACTTCGTTGTGTGAAACGAAGTTCGTTGTATGAATCATGAAATGAAGTTCGTTGTGTGCAGCGTTCGCTGTGTGAGGCGTTCTTTATGCGAGGCACCACTGTAGTCCTTCATCAGTTTCTGTAGGTCTTCAGGTGTCCCAGGTTTTGGCTCTGATTTTGCAAGAATGTCAGTAATTTTCTTCTTTCTCCTCTTCTTGGTCTTGGTGGCATCTTCTTTTGTTTCCTTTGGTTGTACCAAGAAACATTCCGTAGGCTGTTTGGTTTTCTTCGATGGGACAGGAACTGGAGCTGCCTCCTGCTGCTTCATTTCTACGTCTCCCCCTCCTTCACCATCTGATGCTTCCCAGGCAAAAATGACAGCAGAAATCTAGGAAGCAAGAGATTGCAGTCTTTGTATCTAGTGCCAGATCTTCAGCCAAATAATAGTGAAAAAGAAGTGTGAGCTTTATACAATTGAATAGTACATACAGCCTGATTTATGGATAAAAACAGAAAGTTAAAAATATATTATTTGTTTCCATTTTTATTGGGCTATTATCCATCACAGCCCTAAGAAAACTATTTGTATCATTTACAATTTTTACAATTTAACTCTTCACCATCCTCAGCTCCCCATTTCTATTCCAGCCAACACTCTCTCTCACACCTTCCCTGCTTCCTTGTTTTCTTTGATACTTACAAGCATTTGAAATATTTAACCATATATATATATATATATATATATATATATATATATATATGACATATCTCATATATATATCACTTTTTCAATGGTTTATTACTTAACTCTTGGGACATGTCTCATATATATATCACTTTTTCAATGGTTTATTACTTAACTCTGCACATTGCCCCTTCACACTAGAATATAAACTCAAGAAGAATGAGCGTTTCTGTATGTTTTGTTCCTGGCTATGTCCAGCACTTAGAACAGTGCAGGCATTCAATACATGTCTGTTGAATAAATCCCCATTTCATAATGGAAGCAACTGAGGTTCAATGAGATGAAAAACCTTGGCCCAGATCCCACTGTTCGAAAGACAGAGCTAAAACTAAAATCCATTATGTCTGCCTTTTAATGCCCCCTGACTCTGAGCTATCAGCCTTTGATATTAATCAATTCATTCTACTTGACACCAAGTGGCTCCAGGCTTGAATATCTAGTTGTCTAGACTTGAACATCCAACTGTCAACCTGATATCTCACTTGAGAAACAATAGAAATTGAAAACATAACGTGTCCAAGATAAAAAATGCTCATCTTCATTGGCAGACCAATGGTTCTGAGAATGGATGAAAGTCTGAAATGCATATGTGTATAAATCTTTAAAGATGCAGAGTAATTCTTTAAAATAATTGCACTTATATGTAGTTAATTAAATTAATAGATCAGAGAGGCAAAATAGAATTGTGGTTAAGAGCAAATGGCTTTTGGAGACAGAATGCCTGATTTGAATCCTTGCATTTAGTGGTTAATCCATAACATTCAGATGAAAGGTCAACCTACCTAACAGTATTGTTTAGAGGAGTTAGTATGTTGACACAGATGAAAGTGTTGTCATTATTATTATCGGTTTTGGTCTTTACATATAATAATGTTTTTAGGAACCTGTTTCAATGGCATAATAAAGATGCAGCTTAAGACTTACAGGATAATGCTTTAAAACAGACATATAACATCAGAAAGTACAGGGCTGAAGACTCATTTCCAAAGAGTACCATCAATGTGGACTTGGGACATGTCTCATTTTCTCCACAGACTAAAATATAATACCAGTTGTACTTACCTCGAAATATGGTTATGAATTAAGTCAGTAAATAATTAAGTTAATACCCATAAAGCCTTCAGAAAGCACCTAGCAAACTATTAGTGCTAAATAATTGGGAGCACTCATTCTTACCACAAATAAATAAAATTAAATTAGAAGATTGAAACTGAAAACTTTAGTCCTAATAATTATCTGATAAAATGTAATCTCACATACCATTCCCTTAAAAAAGAAGAAGAAGAAGAAGAAGAAGAAGAAGAAGGAGAAGAAGAAGAAGAAGAAGGAGAAGAAGAAGAAAAGGAAGAAAGAAAAAAAAGAAGAGAAAAGAAAAGAAAGTTCTTTTCCCCAAAAATACCTTTAAGCTTTCCATTTTTTACAACTCTGTTCTGTCATCCTAGACTAAGGAAAGCCAATTGTCCAAAATATGGATCACAACTGAAATTCAAGAACTTGTGATTATCTGGGCAGTTGTTCTGCGAACCAGGTTAAAGTACTCATTTTCCTTTTGACAATTATGTAAACCTGACTCAGCATTCTGGCAAGAAAACAAAATGTTCTTACATTTATTGCTGGTGTCATAGTAAACATGATGATGCACATTTTTTAATAACTTAAGCAATGTAGAAATCAGAAAGATCAGATCTTCATGAGAGTGGACCTGATCCTTAGAAAGCTTGCCTAATCTTTTGTTTTGTTCTGTTTTGTTTTCATCAGCATCCCTCTGTTGCTATCTTAGAATCAGGAGGAGAGACAGCAGAGCATCATCTTGCAGGCAAGGCAGCCTTTTTTTGGACTGGACCCTCCCCTCTGGGTTTCTCTATCTCCTTCTCTTCATCTGAAAGACTGGAAAAAATAGCACTTGTGATTTAGAAAGGAGCTAGGAGGAGTGAGGTCAACATGCCCTTGAGCCCACAAATAAACACCATTATATGATAGTTACTATTATGAAAGTTTGTTAGAGATCCAATTAACCTCCTAAAATGAATAATCCACCAATTATTATTAAACTATAATCTAAATAAATGTCATGTTTCAAACTAAATCCTTAATCCTACTTTAGACTTTTCAGTTGTAGTTTCTCATTTTCAGAAAGGATAGTGGTAAATGTCACAGCATAAAATTTTTTTAAATAATAAGTGATCCTTATGTATTTTTTGTAGTTTCAAAACTGTTCATCTGACCATAAAGCACTCTCATTTTATTGTGCAGAGAAATTACATGTCAGTAAAGCACTTACCTAGGAGATTCTCCAATAGTATTATTCATTGTGTATGAGTGGCCACTTAGCCCAGTTAAGGCATAAGTATAAAGTCAAGTAATTTCAGAATTAGAATCCCATCCCTTCTGCTCATTGCCTCTGGGACTCTTGGTAACTCTCTGAATCCCAGTTGTTTTATCCATAAAATAAACTAATAATTTCTCTTTACAAGACTGGTTTGAAAAGAATATAACTAGAAACACGCCCTCGCGCGCACACACACACACACACACACACACACACACAACCCAGCATATTGCCTAACCCAAAAGCAGATTCTCAATACATGATTGCATTTTCACCCTATTTGTAACCTTCACTCTACTATAGTCTCAAAATGTAGTAATGTAGACATCAATATGCATAATCACTCACATCAGTCTAACAATTTAGACTTTGCAAATTGTTTGCATTTAGATAATTAGAAACTGAGGTTCCAAGAACATAGTTGTCTTTCACAAAGTTGCTCAGGTGCAGAGCTGAGAAGGTGGGCCCAGATCCCAGGCTCAGGTCCAGCAGACTGGCCACACTTCATTCCCTCCTTCAGAGCCACTCAGAGAACCATGTTATGGTGATCTATTCTTTATTTTATTTTATTTTATTTTATTTTTTAAATTTAAGAAATCTTTATTGTTCAGATTATTCCAATTGTTTTTCTCCCCCCCCCCCCCACATAGCTCCTTACCACCCAGTTTCCACCCCCTGCTGTCCTCATCAATAGGTGTACAATTTTAGTCCAGTCTCTTCCTGTACTCCCCACACAAACACCCTTTTGCTCCTGAGAATTATCAATTCCCTCCCATTCTATGCCCCTTATTCTACAATATTATATTCACCAGTTTATTCTGTTCCTCAGATTTTTAATTCACTTGACTTTTAGATTCACTTGTTTGTAAATATGTATTTGTTGTTCATAATTTTTATCTTTACTTTTTTCTTCTTTTTCCCCTTTTAAAAAAAATACCTTTCATGATTTCATATAATACTGGTTTGGTGGTTATGAACTCCTTTAGCTTTTTCTTATCTGTGAAGCTCTTTATCTGCCCTTCAATTCTAATGATAACTTTGCTGGGTAGAGTAATCTTGGTTGTAGATTCTTGCTATTCATCACTTTAATGTGTCTTGTCACTCCCTTCTGGCCTGCAGTTTCTGTTGAGAAATCAGCTGATAATCATATGGGTGCTCTCTTATAGATAACTAACTGTTTTTCTCTTGCTTCTTGTAAGATTCTCTCTTTGTCTTTTGCCCTTGGCATTTTAATTATGATGTGTTTTGGTGTGGTCCTTTTTGGATACCTTTTGTTTGGGGTTCTGTGCGCTTCCGAGACTTGTAAGTCTATTTCTTTTACCAGGTGGGGAAAGTTTTCTATCAGTATTTCTTCCAATAGGTTTTCAATGTCTTGCTCTCTCTCTTCTTCTGCCCCCCCCCCCCCCCCCCCCAATTCTGATGTTGGTACTGAAGGCTCCTTAACTTCAACTTTCTGGATTCTCTTCTCTTCTTGCTTCTCTGGAGAGGTGTCCTTTGCCTCTTTGTATTCCAAATCTTTGACTTAATTCTTACATTCCTCTAGTCTGCTGTTGGGTCTCTATAAAATTTTTTATTTCAGTCAGTGTATGTCTAATTTCTAGTTGGTCCTTTTTCATATCCTTAAGGGTCTCATTAAATTTATTGGCCTTTTCTAGGAAATTCTTGAAAAACCTTATAACCGTGGTTTTAAGCTCTATCTCCAGTTGTTTGTTCTCCTCCATTTCTTTTATTTGTGACCTGTTTCCTTGCCTCATTTTCGCTGCTTCCCTGAGTTGGTAGGGTAGCTTTGTGTGGTGTGTGTCCTATATAGTTCAATGGGTCAGCCTCCCAGTTACCTTGGTGCACCCCTTTGTGGACTGTAACTGCCCTTCTCACATGCCTTCTAAATAGTTCCCCTACCTTCTGTCATAATTATTTAACTACACTTCAAAACAAGAGAACGGGAGAGCTACCCTGAGGTGTGCACTCTTACGGCCAGAATGTTTTCAATAGGGAATGTCACAAAAGACAAACATGTTCAATTGCTTATAGAATAACTTTTCAGCCAGCCATTTTCAGTGAAAATTACCTCATTGTGCAGTATGACACCCAAAAGTCATAACCATAATAAAAATAGTGTTTTCCTTATCATCTTTTTTCCAGTAAATGTGTGCTCTGGGGCAGCAGGGTCTTTTTGGGTACACTCAGCACCTCAGTCTGTGACTATCAAGTAATAAGCTGCAATAGTCCATGGTAGAGACTCAATAACCATGTGTAGGATTGAATGCACTTTTTTGTGGCCCTTGTAATAATCCTGTATAATAAAAGGCTAATA